GGTATAATATCAGTATTGAAGTCGCGTTGATGTCTTACCCTCGCATTTGCTGCTTCTCTTGCCAACCTCCGTTTTTCCTTTTCCATGGCAAGTTTTTCACCAGCAAGGTCAGGTGAAGCATTCTCAGTTTTAGTTTTTTCTAACCTCCGAATTATCGCGTTATCCCTTTTACCTACTTGTAATTTCTTCACCTAAATTGTTAGAATACCATAAGAAACAAATATAAACAAGTAACAATATGCTAGACAATAATTAATTGTATCATATTGACTACCTTGCTATGATCATGAAAAGACACTTCTCCGGTCGCCATACCAGCAGTTTTTAACAAATTTGACCAAGGTGTATAAACGACCATAACACTTTTTTCTTTGTTTCCTATGATAGTTAACGAATATTTATACCTAACAAATACACGATATCGAATCTCTGTACATCATGAGACTAGTATAAATCAAAACTCGAACCAGCAATACTATTTGCCTTGACCAATTGTCCCAGATCAGTCAAAAGTGATGTAGGAATGGTTTCCCATGACTGACCCAATTGAAGTCGAAGATAAACATGAGCACTTGAATGTGGATGCACATGGAACTATATCATTTTAAGAAAAAAACATCAGATTACACAAATTACGCTAAATAATCTGTGCAATATACTTACCCTAAGATGTATAGCATCCAATAATGGGTGAAATAAAAAGATATTATTACAAATATTATAAACGTCCGTTATCATAATTTATAGATGCCAATTACTACTCATACCATACATCTTCTTCCCACCCATACTTTATCAAATCTTCATCTTAATTTCAAATAAATCAAGAATTTCGACAATATGTCTGAAAATCAAATTTAATTTCTAAAATTAACAATCGATTTATAGAAAACTAATCAAAATACATACTTTCTTCTTTATCCTTTCCCATGTATATTATTGCGGGCGGATCGACCACTACAAAATTTAACAAGTATTTAATAACTTTTTATAAACAACGGTAAAATATCACTCGAAGTAATATCGTTTGTATTTAGCGCAGTACCATTGCTACTAAAGTAATAAACCATCTTTTTGAACTGAATTCTTTCAAAGTATTTCTTGTCCCGTAAATATTGATATTTGCATGATTAGTTGCACATGATTGTGTTACAAGCATCTGATTGGTTCAGTTAGCTTGGGGTCAGGGACGATTTTTTGTGGCGGCATAACTGGGGTGAGTATAATTACAAATATAGTGCAAACGAGATCACTAATCAAGATTTTTTATATCAGATCTGACACTTATGAAAAAATACACTTCACTGCGCTTTCAATTTCTCTTTCAGTATTTAATATTTTTTTAAGTTTTAAAAGCTTATGATATATCTTTATAAAGTGACAACGTCTAAATTCTATTTAAATATATTCTTATCATATAAAATAAATGCCTTTTGTATTTCTTCTCTTTTACCGTCTTCTTCAGTATTACGGTAAGCCAATTTAAAAAAATTTTCACAACGAGTGTAATATTTAATTATAACATACAACCCATATATTTATCTTTCAGGATTGACAAACCAGACAGACATAATATGACAGTAATAAGATAATTTGTTTTTTTTGTATCGTTCAAATAATTTATACTTAGTTTTATACTAATCCTTTCAATTGTCGGGAAAACTATCCCTTAAACTGTATGCAAATTCGGGGCAAATTTGCCCCGAATTTTTTAAGTATAAACATTTATGATTTAACTTTTTAAAAAATTAAAATATTTAATTTTATTTTTTTGAATTAATATTTTAAAATAAGGATTATATAATTATAATATTTAAATTTAATTTATAAGAAAAAAATTTAGGTTATATATTAGTCTAAAAGTTAGTACCGTAATGTGCCATATAAAAGATCCCCCTATATATCAGATCCCCCATGAATTAGACCCGGGTCTATAATATAAGATAAAATTTTGGCAAAATGTAAGAAACCCGGGTATACAAATAGGAAAATACTAAGAAAAAAATAAAGAAATAGAATAAACCCCTAATTATCATACCCACACCTATACAAAAGACCCCGGGTCTAAATCTAGGTTTGAAAATTGGTGAAATGTAACAGACCTGGGTTGTTTATATGGCACATTATGGTAATTTTAGAAAATTTTTACAATTTAAAAAAATTAGTTATTTATTCTTAATTAATTTGTTATTCTTTAAGTATTTTATTTTAATAAAATAGAATTTATTAAAAGGAACAATTTTTATTATTATAGTTTTTATGATTTTATTGTAAAAATTTGGACTTGTATTAGAAGTAAAAAAATTTTTTAACTTTGGAAACATATAAATTTTATAAAATTTAAACTAAATTTAATATTAGAATTTTTAAAATTTAAACTTAAAGTTTAATTATTTAAAAACTATTTAATAAAAATTAAAAAATTGTTAATAAAGTTAATAGAATATATATTATAGAATATTTTTATAAGAATTATAGACTCTATATTAGGCTACATAAATTTAATTTATTGGTTTTTATAATATAAAACTTCTTAAATAGACCCAGCTAGCTGGTTTTTTTTTTAATTTTATATATAAAAATTTATAAAATTTTCTTAACAATTTTTTTAAAAATTCATACAATTATTAAAACATATAAAAATTTTTTGTAAAAATTTTTAAAATTTGACTCAGCTAAGTTATAAGAACCAATTAGTTAACTTTGCATAGTCTTATTAATAATTGTGATAGATTAAAATAAAATTAGTTTAAAACAATTTTTTTTTTAATTTTAAGAAAATTTAAAGTTTTTTAGAGAATATTTTTTAAAGTTTTTTTAGTATTAAGTGTCAGATTTAGAGTTAGAGTTATTAATAAAAGAGTATATGTAAGTTTTATAAGCTTTAAGAGTAAGCAAGAAAGGTCTCCAATTTTATTTTAATCTGATTTAATTTTTTCTGTAACAATAATTTTTTAACTAATTTAAAAAATTATAAATTTATAGTTAAATAGATTTATTATAAAAAAAAAAATATATTTATTGTTAAAATTATTTGACTTACTTATATCAGATTTTTTTAAAGCTGAATCTTATAAAATAATAATTAATAAATTAATTTTTATAGTTTTTCTATCTTTATCATTTATTTATTTATTTTTTTTTAGTATTAAAGTGATTTCTTGGTCATCTCCTTTTATTTAGTTATTAGTTAACTTTACTGTATGATAAGCTCTCTCTTTTTGAGACAACCTATATAGTATACATATTTGGAGAATATATACTAGCTACATATACAACTTTTGATAGTATATTTAAGTAGTCTACTTATTACTAAGTTCTACTTCTATATTAGATGCTATACCTATAATTTGACTAAAAGGTTATTTATTTAAACTCTCTGTACTTATAAAATCAATCTTTATAATCAAGCAAAAGTAAATTCATATCCTTTATTTTCAGATACCTGGCTTAAAACTTTAAAACAGACTACAACTATTTTAGAAAGCTCTTTATCCTTAAGGTAAATCTGTTAAAGCTTTCTGTATCTATAATCTAGCTAATCTAGGCTTTGGTAACTTATACCAAGTCTAAAAACAAGTACTTGCGAGCTAAAGCTACTACTATTACCTATTTCTGCTCTTGTAAAGTTCACTCAAACCACAGTACTCCTCTTCAAGTCTACATAGTATTCTTCACTTTTGGTACTGCTTTAGTTAATCTTTCCAAACTTCTAATTCAGATAGCCCAGAAAATATACTAGTTTCTTAATATCTGCTTGCAGATCTTTTTCCTCTAGTCAATGTTTTAGTGATTTGGTTAGTAGAGTATTCTTACTGAATACCCAGTTCTTATTTAGTTATATTAACCTTAGGTGTATCCTATTCCAATAGTATCATTAAAGATCTGTACTATTTCTCTATTCAGAACTTGCCAAGTAAATATCTATCTCTTTAGTTTTTTAGTTTTATACAATTTATCAGGATTTATTATGGGTTTGCACTGATTAATACCAGCTTGTATGCTTTTGTATAACTTATACATTAGCAAAAAATATAAATAAAATCTTTCGAAAGAATTTGCATAACAAAAATATTTTGAAAGATTTGCAATCGATGCGAAATTTTTCGAAATATATTTCAAAAAATTTCGAAAGATTTCAAAATTACTTTCGAAAGATTTTAAAATAATTTCAAAAGATTTTGAAATAACTTTCAAAATATTTCAAAATAACTTCAAAAGTTTTCAAAAATTTTTAAATTATTTCAAAATCTTTCAAAAAATTCAAATATATGCATAAATATCTACAAGTTTTTGCAATTTAAATTAAAATACACTTATTTATTTATCGCTGTTTTCAAAATAGTTGAGAATAGCAAGATTTTTAAAAAAGGACTTAATTAGGCATCGCAACCTGCGATGTGCTTATATATTGCATTTTAGATAATTGACCAATCAAATTTCAAGATCAGGTGTAACATAGCACGATCAGGAAGATTCAAAACAAATGTTCGTTTTGGCAAAAGTTACTTATAACTCAAAATTTCATATATGAAA